TGCACGCGTTTATACACACTCTCAACACGTTCAAGTGGAAAATATAATTTTCTGCAAATTTTCCATGTAAATTTTTGTTGGTAGAATACTTTTCGCCAGAGCATAAGGAAAGCCTACTCTTGCAAATAAATTTTCTGCTGCCTTTTGCCGTTGCTTTTTTGTGCAAAACAAAAACAAAATACATGACAAACAGACTCGTGTGTCCTTTAAGCCGGATCTCGTCTTCTTTTTTTTTTTTGTTTTTAATTTTAATCATAAATTAAATTTTATTTAAATTTTCTTAAATAATTTTTCATTTCAAATTAATAAATATTAATTTATATAAATTTGGTGTTAAGTATCTTATTGTTGTTGTTGTTGTATAAATTTTCCGTTCGATATTTTCATTGTGTTTCAAAATGTCCTTCGACATACCGTTGGCCGATCAAATGCGCATTGCCTTGAGGTAAGCTAATTCAATTAATATATATGGATTATATTTACACAAATATATTAATAAATATTGATTATTTTGACAAATATTATTTATCAAAAATTGTCAATTTGAATGTCAAAATTTCAAATTGATATTAATATTTTTCCAATTTGTGTTTTCTTCTCAAGATGAAGAATCAAGAAGATAAACAACTTCAAATGTCAAATCCACATATAATCTATGTAAAAATTAATATAACAAAAAACACTTGTTTTTTAAATTTCGTAATCAAAATACTTTAGCAAACAAAACTTAAAACAAATTATTTAATTTAGGTATTATTATAAGTTATACAATGTTCCAGAAGTCTAAGGAGCGTTTTTGAAAATTACTCAAAGTTTATCATATAACATATAATATAAGAAATTGTATAATAGAAGAAATTAAGTTATGACTATTATAAAATAATCCGAAATATTTTTTGAGAAAAGTTTGAACTCAGAAAGCCTCTTGGATACGCCAAGAATGGCAGAAAGTTTCAATAAATAAATTTACACTGCAACTACTTGCCTAATAATGTGAAAATATAATAAAGCAGTTATAACATATATACCGAGGTATATACTCTTGAAAAAGAAGTTTCCAAAACAAATCGTTGGTCGTATCGGTATTTCATTTTTTACAAAACATAAAACGCTACTTACCAATCTTACTTTTATTTGCCCATGCCACACTTGAGTAAAATTAAGGATCAAAATTTGTTTTTATAACAGTTTTCGACAGTTTTAACTTTTAATCATGCTTTAATGTGAAAGTATGCAAGGTTATAAAACCAACACATCTACAACTTTTTTCTTTTGTCACTTTTTGGTATTTACTATTTTAAATTTATATAGCTATTTTATATTTAATGCCTGAATGGAGCACCAAACAGCGAAATTAAGAAATCTATATATAATTTGTAATAATTTGTACATAAAAATTTGTATATAATATGTAAATATGAGGCCCTATGCTTCACTGGAAAATGAGGATGACAGAAGATATGTAATTTGTGATATTTTATCGGACTTTCATTTTTTTACACCTACAACCAATTAGAATTTTCAATCTGCAGAATTAATCAAGTGAAGCAGGTATTAAAATCTAATGAACCGAAATCAGTCCTCAAATATTATCGAAGTGTGGCGTGAGTTAAAAAGGTATCACAATGGGGTCTAGGTTACTTTGTTTCACGACAAATTTTAACCTTTATAAAATACTGATCTGGTCGAATGGGTGCTACTAATAACGTGGCTTTTATTTTCGAGTTTTTTCTTAGTTCCTGATTTTTCTTTGCTATTGGGCAGCACATTTCTTCAACATTCGAAAATGTTCTGTTTTTCAATATTTCTTTATTTCATTTAAAATATATGTCTTCGTGTTCCTATGTTTTTTTTATACAATAACTGATAATAATTTGTGATCAACTAACTCTGGACATCAGGAATGACTACAGCTGTTCAAATTGGTTAATAAATTTAAAAATTCTTCAAGTGATATTATTTTGAACCACATGTTAATATCTAACTTGACTAAATGTCTTAATAAATAGCAAAATTAACCCTATATTAATAGAATTGAATTTGAACACTCATGAAATATAAAAAAAAAATTTAGTTTATTTATTACTTTCAGTTTGCTATAAGAACTTATATATGTGCATAAAATTGATATATTGCATTGGCATGAAATATGGAATTAAAACTATTAAAATTTTTGTTTAAAATCGCATAGAATGTCAAAGTAAATAAACGCTAGAAGAATGGATATTGAAGAAGGGCATTCTTTGGCTCTTACATGCATTTGTATAGTATATTTGTATAGTAAAAATTATTTGTCTGAAAGCAACCGTTATCGAAGGAAAGCATTTATTTGTTGAAGGAACTAGTCATTGTACAGACACATTGAAAGCCTAGTCCATTACAGCACTAATTTCACATCAATTTGTCCATATATCCTGCAATTTCGACGATATAGAATAAAGATCTACCTTTTTTACAAAAACAGCCACAAATATATACTTTTGAAACGTCCTGTTTTCTTTAGAACCAACCTTATATGATTATATTTTATATTGGTACGCTTGATTGCTGATTTTAAACATTCGTGGTTTCTCTTTCATCGATTGTTTTAAGATGTTTTTGTAAAAATCCATATTAATACTACTGTTTGAAGTCACTAAAAAGTTAATTAATATCCTAACCTAGACATATTAACCTATCTAATTGAATAACATTATCGTTTTATTTTATAACAATCAGTAATAATAATTTAAATTAATAAGCATTTTTATTTAAGATTATTCAATTTAAGTCATATATTTTTATAATATATAATATCCATCATACAGTCGAATAATATACTAATCAAAAAGTATAATTTTTTATTTATTTTTGTTAATTTTATTTATTTGTAACACAGAAAATATCAAAAGTATTGCAAATAGAAATAATTTTTGAATTAATTTCTGATGCATACCTAAATTTTGAATCACTAGGTTTTATTATGCCAAGAACTGTTCCAGTCATAAGATCTGCCACATATTGTTTAGCATTTTTTATTATTATTTCGCAAATCAAAGTCGTTTAGAAATCATCGAAGTGATTTCAATTCCAGTTTATCAGCTTTTGTTTTGTGTAACTTAACAATTAATTTTTAAAATAATTATCTAAGCAAGTTTAATAAAATTTTATTAAATTTCTAATAAAATAGTATTAAACCACCTGATTAAAAATTAGTTTAAAGCATATTTTCAATAAACTGATTTAATATGTAATTAAAGTATAACACTTTAAGAGTAAAGGAAATATTATATTATACATTATATAATATATAGTATACATTATATTTTATAAATAGTTCATATATACATGTATAAATATTTGTATGTATTATTTATATATATATATATACATATATATATATACATATATATATATATATATAAATAATACATACAAATATTTATACATGTATATATGAACTATTTATAAAATATAATGTATACTATATATTAATAATGTATAATATAATATTTCCTTTACTCTTAAAGTGTTATACTTAGATTATATATATTAAACTTAATTATATAAATTATTATATTATATTAATATATATATAATGTATAATATATATATAAATAATACATACAAATATTTATACATGTATATATGAACTATTTATAAAATATAATGTATACTATATATACTATATATATATATATATACATATGTATTGTGTATATATTGTGTTACACAAAACAAAAGCTGTATATTGTGTGTACATATATATTGTGTATATAACTAAATTTAACATTATCGCCGTATTTTTATTTTATGATATATAAAATTATGAACTTATGCATTTGTTTTTGCGGCCTCCAAACTACTCATAAATTCGAATTGGTACACCTTATCTTCTAGTCTGGACAATCCTAGTGTAATTTATGAATTTCGACCTATTTTACTCTATGTTATCGTTGCCTTATTTAATTTAAGCTTTCTGATATCACACATGATTTCATCAATATAATCAATAATAACATATTTATTATTGCCTTCCGTACCTATTATTGTGTGTACTAGACTGTACTCAATAATCTTATTTAGAATGAACTATATCTATTCTCTCAACGTGTATTATTTATCGCAATCTCTCTGCATTAAAGTATTGGAGTAGTGTCCTCCACATCTGTATACGCTTGCTAAGTAGTCCACTTTATTAAAAAATGTCAAAATTAATAATTACATGGCAAAATATAAATAAAATCGAATTAATAATTTATTTTGTTGTTGATTCACGGTCCTTCTTAACTTAAATTCACTTTAATTCAAAAATATCCCAATTAATTTGTTTAAGATAATGAAGATCACAGAATATATTTTTTTCATAATTAATAGGCGTCCATCTGATAATAATATATTTTATAGTCAACTTCTTAACGGAAGCTATAATTTACTTTTTAATGGAAAATAGCGATACATATGTATGTAAGTGCAATAATAACTCTGCGGTCTTGTTTGCTTAGTCAATGCAATCCTACACAAAACGTGTTAAAATGACGAAGTAATTATTTTTTGAATATCATGTTTTAATGTACTTTGTTTAAATTATAACAATTTTAATAATACACATAAAAAAATTGCATGCAAAATGCATTTAAAATAATTATTTTCCGGCTACTCAGTGTCAGCAAGTTCAGCTTATCTAATTGCAACGAGAACGTTAAAATGCAGTCATCAAAAAATTTCACAAAATCGCTCCGAGTCAAGTCATTCAGAGCAGCTTTTGTAAATTTCTTAAGTGTTGATATTCAATAGTTAAAATTCTATTATAATAAATAAATTATATTATTGAATATTAATTCCAAAACTCAAAAATCATAGTAAATCAAATGAAAGTCAAATATATCGTATGTCAGTTATCACGTCAATCAGTAAATTACTTTGAGTTCTGTTGATTATGGCAACAATCGCTTGGATTGTGGAAAAATGCTTTATTAAATTTATTTTGGATTAGAAGTACGAATATTTATTCAATTAATTTACACAATACTCTGTAAACAATAAGTTAGTTTTAGTTTATTCAGTTATTGGCCGAAACAGTTGAGCTGCTTACCACAAGCCTCCGGTAGCACTCCACACTGAGCAAATAAAAATTTTATTAAATTTGCTAATTTGCTGGGAGACCGAGAGGCGTGAAACCTTGTAATATTGTTTGTTAATTAAATGGTAATTATTAGTTTATGAATTAATATATTGATATAAGTTAGACGTAACTCATATGTTAGTTATGAGTTACGAATAAATTAAGTAAAAATGGTAGTTATTAAACGCACAGTTTAAGTAATTATTTTTCTTTATTTTCAAAACATACTCGATACGTAAATAATAAGTAATAGAAAAATAAAAA